GTATTTTCTTTCACTGTCCCCCAGGCCTAGAATGCCCTCCCTCCTCGTTTCTGACTGCAGATTTCCCTGGCTTCCCTTAATTCCCAACTAAAATTGTGTCTTTTACAGGAAACCTTTCCCAACCCAACCCCTCTTAATTCTAGTGTCTTTCCTCTTTTAATTATTTCCTGTTTATCCTGTATATAGCTTGTTTGTACATACTCGTTTGCTTGTTGCCTCCCCTATTAGAGGAACTGTCTTTTACTTCTTTTTGTATCCCCAGCACTTAGCACAATGCCTGGCATGTGGCTGGTGCTTAATAAATGTTTTTTGACTGATTGAAGAATTTGTAAGAATTATAACTATTGCTTGGTTAATAAATGATCAATGACTATGAATAGACAACTTTCAGAGGAAAAAATCTAAGCTATCAATAACCATATGAAAAATTCTCTAAATCACTAATGTTAAGAGAAATACAAATGAACACAACTGTCAATTCCTACTTCATGTTCATCAGATTGGCAAAATTTGCCCAAAAAAGGGAAAATGACTATCTGACGGGCTATGTGAAAACTAAAAAACTAAAACTAAGGTAAATTAATGCCTTGTTGGTGGATCTGTAAATTGGTTGCAGCCATTTTGGAAGGAAATGTGGAACTATGTCCAAAGAAGTTTTTAAGTTGTGTATATCCTTTGACCTAGTGATATTATTTCTAGTTCTATATCCCAAGAGAGGAAAAGCACCATGTACAATAGCTGTTTTTGTGGTGGCAAAGAATAGGGAACCTAAGGGATGCTTATCAGTTGGAGAATGACTAAACAAGTTATAGTATATAAACGTGATGAAGTATTATTGTTCTGTGAAAAATGATGAAAAGCATAATTTCAGAGAAACCTGGCATGACTTGTGTAAACTGATGCAGGGTGAAGTGAGCAGAACCAGGAGAACAGTTTATATGACAACAGTAATGTAAATGAAGGCAATGACCATAATTTCAGAATTTTCATGATAAAACTTGCCACATCTCTCCGGATAGATAGGTGATGGAGTCAGAGCACAGATTGAAACAACATTTTTTTTTAAGACATGGCTAATGCAGGAATTAGTTTTGTTTAATTAAGAGAGGGGTTTTGTTTTTCTTTCTTAATGGGGGAGGGGGAGAAAAAACAAGTCTTTATGAAAATAAAATTTAATTTTTAAAATGGGTAGAGTCAAAGAAATTAAGAATAAACAAGCAAGAAATATATGTGTGTGTGTGAGTATTTAACTGTATTGCAAAGGCTTCAGGAGTGAATGAGAAGTGGAAGCAGTGAGTGTAGATTCTTTTTTCTCATTTGCTGTAAAATACAAGATAATAGTTTGAGAAGATGGTAGGTTCTTTTGAGGGTTTTTTTAAAAATAGAGGAAACATGAGCATGTTTAAAGCTAGAGGAAAAGAATCAGCAAAGAGGGAGAGGTTGAAGATGAGAGTGAGATCATGGATCTCTAAATCTGTATTTGGCGTGAACCTCAGAGGTCACTTAGTTCAACGTCCACATTTTACAGTCACAGGTTTTTTTGGGGGGGAGGTCTATGAACTTGCATAGGAAGAAATTCTGTCTTTATTTTCACCAGCCTTTAACTGAAATTTAGCATTTCCTTCAATTACGAGTATAGACAACAAAAAGTATTCTGAGAAGATACTCCTTTGGAAGATGACTTCACTAAACTCCAAAGAGGTCCATAACACAAAAAAGGTTTTTAATAAAGTGTTGTATTCTAGCTATTGTGCTGTAAGAAATGATGGTCAAGAGCTGTGAGCTCTTCCACCCAGCGTGCCTTTGCCTCCCCCCTGCCTCCAGGTGCAGCACCACCTCCTCTCTCTTAAGGGTTTAAACTGGCCTTTCCAGAGTTCTCCATGGATGATGATATTGCTGCTCTCGTTGTTGACAGTGGTTCTGGAATGTGCAAAGCTGGCTTTGCAGGGGATGATGCCCCTAGGGCTGTCTTCCCTTCCATTGTTGGGCGCCCCAGACATCAGGGTGTGATGGTGGGTATGGGCCAGAAAGACAGCTACATGGGGGGATGAGGCCCAGAGCAAGAGGTATTCTGACCCTGAAGTACCCCATTGAACATGGTATTGTCACCAACTGGGATGACATGGAGAAGATCTGGCATCATACTTTCTACAATGAGCTCCGTGTGACCCCTGAAGAGCACCCTGTGCTGCTTACAGAAGCCCCCCTGAACTCCAAAGCCAACAAAGAAAAGATGACTCAGATTATGTTTGAGACCTTCAACACCCCAGCCATGTACGTTGCCATCCAGACTATGCTGTCCCTGTATGCCTCTGGTCGTACCACTGGTATTGTGATGGACTCTGGTGATGGTGTGACCCACACTGTGCCCATCTATGAAGGTTATGCCCTTCCCCACGCCATCCTCCGTCTGGATCTGGCTGGCCGTGATCTGACAGACTACCTCATGAAGATCCTGACCGAGAGAGGGCATGGTTTCACTACCACGGCTGAGAGGCAAATCGTGTATGACATCAAGGAGAAGCTGGGTTATGTCACCCTAGACTTTGAGCAGGAGATGGCCACTGCTGCATCTAGCTCCTCTCTGGAAAAGAGCTATGAGCTTCCCGATGGTCAGGTTATCACCATTGGCAACAAGAGGTTCCAATGCCCAGAAGCTCTCTTCCAGCCATCTTTCTTAGGTATGGAATCCTGTGGAATCCATGAAACTACCTTCAACTCAGTCATGAAGTGTGATGTTGACATCCATAAGGATTTGTATGCCAATACCGTATTGTCTGGTGGTACCACCATGTACCCAGGCATTGCTGACAGGATGCAGAAGGAGATTACAGCCGTAGCTGTAATGAAAATCAAGATCATTGCCCCACCTGCGCTTAAATACTCTGTCTGGATTGGAGGCTCCATCCTGGCATCTCTTTCCACCTTCCAGCAGATGTGGATCAGCAAGCAGGAGTATGATGAATCTGGGCCTTCTGTTGTCCACCGCAAATGCTACTAAATGGACTGTTTGTGTTTTGTTTTGTTTTTTTTTAATTTTGGTTTGGTTTTTTTTTTGGTCAAAGGATATGACATGATAATTGCCCGAAAAAAAAAAAGAGATGAGATTGGCATGGCTTTTTTTTGGGGGGGGGCGCTTGACTCAGGATTTAAAAACTGGAACGGTGAAGGTGATGAGCAGTCTAAGTATGTTGGAGGCAAACATCCCCAAAGTTCTACAGTGCGTCTTCAGGACTCTGATTGTACGTTTGTTATTTTTTTTTTAAATAATCATTCCAAATAGTGTGTGATGCATTGTTACAGAGTTACAAGCCTCTATGAAGGCTGTCCTCTGCTAGAGCAAAGGAGCTAGGTAACAAAAATCCAGATGGGGAGGGGGGAGGGAGGGCAGGTACTAGTATTGCTTTACATGTAAATTATGTAATCCTTTAAAAAAAAACTTTTTGTATCTTCCTCCTTAATACTTGTTCCTTTTTTTAATTGTCAGCCATAATGGATGGCCCCCTAAATTCCCTCCCTGCCCCCAACATAGATGTGAATGAAGACTTTACAGTCTCCCTGCGAGTTTTATGAGATTGGTGCCAGTACTTGGGGGAGGGGAGGAGCTTTACCTGTACACTGACTTAAGACCAGTTCAAATAAAAGTGTACACGTTAAAGAAAAAAAAAAAGAAATGATGGTCAAGCAGACTTCAGAAAAACCTGGAAAGACTTGTATGGACTGCTGCTGAGTGAAGTGAGCAGAACCAGGAGAACGTTGTACATGGTAGCAGCCACACTGTGCGATAACTAACTTTGATAGACTTAGATCTCCTCAGCAATGCAAGGATCTAAGACATGTCCTAAAGCCTCATGATGGAAAATATTATCTACAACCAGAGAAAGAAGTATGGAGTTTGAATGCAGATGGAAGCATACTATTTGCTCTTTTTTTTCTTCTGTTGTGCTTTGTTTCTTCTTTCTTGTGGTTCTTCCTATTGGTTCTAATTTTTCTTTACAACATCACTAATGTGAAAATATGTCGAATAGGAATGTATACGTAGAGCCTGTATCAGATTGCACTCTGTCTTGGGGAGGGAAGGAGGTGGGGAGGGAGAGAAAATTTAAAACTCAAAAGCTTATCGAAGTGAATGTTGAAAACTAAAACTAAATTGATTTTTAAAAAAGTGTTGTATTCTAAATAATTTATTTTGTAAAAGCAGCTAGGTGACATAGTAGATAGAATGTTAGGCCCGGAGTCAGGAAGACTCAAGTTCAAATCCAACCTTAGATCCCTATTAGTTGTGTGAACCTGGGCAAATCACTTAACCTTTGTTTGCCTTCATTTTCTCAAGTATAAAATGAAGATGATAATAGCATTTAACTTGCAAGCATCCACACCTTATGTGGAGCTCACATAAGATAACATTTGTAATAAAATCATTTAGCACAGTGCCTGGCACATAGTAGTAAGTGCTTAATAAATGCTTGTTTGCTTCACTTTTTGTTTCTGGTTAAAATTTTCACATAGTGATGATGTATGAATGGTGTATGTTCTTGATTAAACTTACTGAATGAGCTATATCATGTAGGCTGGTTGGAAGTATTAATAGACTTGATCATGAGGATCTTCTTTAGTCTAAAGGCACTAATGGGAAAGGGGATAAGGAAAGTGAGCATGGAGAGGTATGTACAAGAAGTATCTGGATAGGCAGAAAGAATTTCTTTGCTTCTCTTAGGTACATGTTGGTGAGTCGAAGGCAGAATTTAATTTTACTGTGTTTATGTTGTAGTCCTTATTCAGACAAGATGCTGAATGAGTAGTGAGATCTGCTTTAGAGTATAAAATCACTTACTTTATCACAGATATTTAATGGATTGTTACGCCACTTGCATTCTAAATGTTCTATAATGCCATGATTTGAACTACAAGTATTCTTTCCTAAAATTTAGATAAAATATTTATCAGTGGATACAAAGTGGAAATGTGTTTATTGTAATTGGATTTTTTTTTCTTTGCAGATCCTCAAGAGTGACTGATCTATGAAATGGCAGAGAATGGAAAAAATTGTGAACAGAGACTTACAGGGATGAGCAAGGAACAGCACAACGGAAACTTCACAGGTAAATTGTGGTAAGCTTAGAACTGAAATTTTATGGTTCAGGGAGAGTGTTGTGTGCTGATTCAAGCCTAGTACTTTTAAGGAAAACACATTCAGCATAAAAGAAATATGACTTGCAACTCATTGTTACCTTTTGATAATAATGGTGGCCTCACCATTTCTGGCCTCACAGAAACATGAAATACATTTTCCTAATAAAATTATTACAATTGATCTTGTGGCATGATAAATATTTTAATGAATCTCCTGCAGCAATGGATTTTTTTTTCTTATTGATTATAAGGGATTGAGAAGAGTGGGTAAAGTGGGAAATTATCAACACTGGATATAAACACTTTTTTCCCAGGTAAGAGGAAGAGAGAGATGGCGTATGGTAGCTGGTTGGAGTGAAAGGTGCAAAGGGAAATATTTTGTAGGATTGGAGAGACTTAAGCCTGTTTGTAGGAAGATGGAAAGGAAACCAGTGTAGAAGGGGAAATTGAAAGATGTATGAGTAAGAAGAGATTGACTCTGGGACTTGAAATCTTGGGTCTTTTGGGAGAGAATGCAATAAAGGAAATATAGCCTTTCTAAAGAGTAAAGATTCCTCTTTTGTGACAGGAAAGAGGAATGCAAAAGTAGGTAATGATGATAAGGTTTCGGGAGTGGGGAGGGAAGCTGAGGTAATTCGCAAGATTGCATTGTTCTTTCTTGTGAAGAAGTAGAGAGATCATCTGCTTGGAAGTGTGAAGTCTGGGGAGTTGTAGTTGGGGACTAAAACATCTGTAACTTTCTAAACACGTTTTGGATCCACATGCAGTGTATCACTTCAAGTTAATTAGAATTGTGGCCCAAGGCATACATATGTTCTCTAAAGACAGAGATGTCATACAGTAAAGCATATTCAATAAGCCAACCATATATCCAAGATATAAATTAGTGTTTATTACTGCAGTGTTAAAGTTCAAATTAACAATCTTAATAAGTTGAGGGGCTAATTGCATGGCTTTTTGGCATAGATGAGAAGGAAGTAGAATTTTCCATTTACCTTTTTTTCTTCTTTCTTTCAGACCCCTCTTCACTGAATGAAAGGAAGAGACGGGATCGGGAAGAAAGGCAGAATATTGTCCTGTGGAGGCAGCCACTCATTACCTTGCAGTATTTTTTTCTGGAAATCCTAATAAACTTGAAGGAATGGACCGTAAAGTAAAGTTTTTCTTTGCCTTTGATATAAACTGTTTTTAATTATATTTGAAACCCTGGGCTGTGATTGTCACTATATTTTTTACCCAAAATAATTACTTGCATTTGGAAAAACCATTGTGGAAACCTGTTTTTCTCTTTTCTCTGCAGAGACTTTAAAAAAACAAAGCCAGGCTGAATATTGCAAATATTTCTACCAATTTAGTTTTTATGGCTCTTGATCTATTACCTTATTCTCAAGTTCTGTCTGTTTAATTAGAAAATAGTTATAATGTTTTAGGTTTTCTTTAACATGCCCTTTTTACAAAGAGGCTCTCAAAAACAAGAACTTGCTTGTATTTCTGGATTTACCTTAAGACAGGGGCTCTTAACCTGGGGGTTTGTGAACTTGTTTTTTGTTTTGTTTTTTTTTAAGTTGACAACTGTATTTCAATATAATTAGTATTCTTTGGGATATTATGTATTTTATCTAATGTTTTTAAAAACAGAGGGATCCTTAGGCTTCTCCAGCAGCCAGAGGTATCTGTGACACGTAAGAGAAGCCAGCTTCCTAATTAGTGGGTCTTTGAAAGCTACTGAGTTAAAGTTTTCCTTATTCTTTAATGGAACAAAGCTCAAAATATGTGAACTTTGTATATAGTAAAAGTTTTTTTCTGCCTTTAAGCATAGTGCTTGTAAATCTTGTTGCTCCAAATGTCCTAAGAGGCAAGTTGAATTTTTACAGGTCTTATCAGGCAAGCCCTGCGTGGCCTTCTCAACATAGAAGTTTAGTATGTAGGATGGGGCATTGTATAAGGAAAGAAAGGCTTCAAGTGGTTCAAAGTATTATCGTGATAATACACAAGGCAGAATATTTATGGATTGAAGTAGAAGCAGTCATTTTGTTTGAGTAGTTTCCTCTAATTGAACCCTCTATGCTGGCCATCCCAACAGCTTCAACAGGGATTTGTTTTGACAGTGATGAGAGGCCTGACATTGAGACTGCAAGAAACTCTGATTATCATTTATTTATTTTTAAGATTGTGGCATCGTCGAAGCATTGTGGTGTCTTTTTTAGTACTGCTTGCTGTGCTTACAGCTACGTATTATATTGAAGGAACACATCAACAGGTAAGAGTTCATTTAACATTCTGCTTTTGAAAGCCCGCCAATACATTCAAACAAATCAGTTTTGCCAAGGGGATGCCATAAGTTTCAGGGGATTTCCTATCAGTTTGAGCAAGTAACGTAATATTTGCACTTAAATCAATTAAGTTAGCCAAGTGTGAGCAGTTAGTATGCTAATACATCCTTTTGGTTTTCTGGAAGTTAGTTAAATATCACTTTTCTGGTGGTGTCCAAGCGTTGTCAATCTTCTTAAAAATTCTGTTTTTATGTATTTCATTAAATATTTCCCCAATTACATTAAAAATTTTTAACTTTCATTTTTTTAAATTTGGAGTTCCAAATTCTCTCCCTATTACCCTTTCCTCACCCTTTGAGAGGGCAAGCAATATGTCAGTTATACACGTGAAGACATGCAAAACATTTCCATATTAGCCATGTTGCATATAAACATACGAAAAAGCAAAGATAATAAAGTGGAAAAAAGTACCAAGTATTATGAATCTTCCAAGAATTGTCAAATCCACACATTTTATGTATAAGGCAAACTTACATTTTGTACCAGGCAGAGTTTTATATTATTTTGGGAATAGGCTTGTATAATGTTGTAGGTTCATTTACAAATGTGAAATGATTGGGGGAAAATTAGAAGTTTTAGCACATCTTTTTGGATTAAAATAACACAAGTAAAATATGCAGTAACAGTGTGTTCTAAATTGTAGGTTCTTTATTTTTAAGCACATGGAGCTCAGTTCTCAGGTTTCTGTGATTTTTAAAAGTACTGTTACAGATATTTAAAAAGAATCTTTGGGGGCAGCTAGGTGGCGCAGTGGATAGAGCACCAATCCTGGAATCAGGAGGACCTGAGTTCAAATGTGTCCTCAGATACTTCCTAGCTGTGTGCCCCTAAGGCAAGTCACTTAACCCCAAATGCCTCAAAAACAAAGAAACAAACAGAAAGAATCTTTGTGTGTTTTAGAAAATTTGAAATGAATCTACTTGGTGGCAGTGGCCAAATTAGAGTCTGAAAACTGTTCAATAGTGGAATTATGTTATCTTTCTGAAGAGCCTGTGCCACAGTTGAGGCACTGAAGCCAGAACTTCTAGAACTACTTTTAACTGGTGGAGAGAGAATTGCACTTAGAGACAAGACTTGGCTCAAAAATTCCTTTCCTATTAATTAGTTGTGTGACCTTGAACAATTTACAACTTCTAAGTACTTTGTTCTCTCCATCTGTAAGTCAGGGGCTCTTAACCAGGAGACCATGAACTTTTTTATATTTTGATAAGTGTATTTCAGTATCATTGCTTTCCTTTGTAATCCTGTTTATTTTATTTTGTGCATTTGAAAACATTATCTGGAAAAGTCCGTAGACTTCACCAGACCGCTGCCCAAAGTGATCATGGCACAAAAAAAGTAAAAAACACCTGTCTAGACTATCCCTAAGATTCTTTCCAGTTCTTTCTTACTTACCTTCTAGTCTTGTGTGATTCTGGAATTCTTCACACCAGTGTCCATGTCCTGATGAACTTGAAGTTTTCTTTCCCTCTTAGTTTGTACTTGCTACAATGGAGTTACTATATACCCCAGCCCCAGTGTGTCTGTCATTTTGCATCTATTTTTAAAAAAATCTGGATGGATAATGAAGAACATGTTATATTTACAGTGATAGCTATCACTTTTTTCCACTCTATTCTTCTCCATTGTTCTTTTAAATTCAGAGAATTTGGACTTTTAAAAAGTTCTTCTCTTTTTTGGTAGCTTCTTAATCATGACAGCTATACTTAAGAAAATAACAATTTGGAACCTAAAATCTTTTTGCTAATTGGCTGAATGATAATTAACCTTTTTGTTGCCCATCTCCTACTACATACTTAGTTCTATAAGAAAAAGGAATGAGTTTTTTTTTCTAGTTGTAATCCTTTATTTTTGTTGATTTAACCTAATATTGACAAATGATTTGGGGAAATTTTGAAATTGTATTATTTTTGTTTTTCAGTATGTGAAATATATGGAGAAAAAGATTCTTTGGTGTGCCTACTGGGTAGGCTTAGGAATTCTGTCTTCTGTTGGTCTTGGAACAGGTCTACATACTTTTCTGCTTTATCTGGTAAGAGTTAACATTTATTTATTTAAATTTTTTTATTGATATTTTTTGCTTTTACCTTCATCCCTGAATATATTTCTTCCTATTAAGCCATCCCTTATAACAAAGAATGAAAAAGAGAAGGAAAAGAGACAGTTTGGAAAAACCAACCAACATACCAACTGAGCCTAAATAGACAATATTCTACATATATAGGTCCCCAACTTCTGCAAAGAAAAGATCTTTTCAACTCTTCTTCCAGGCAAAGTTTTATCATTATAATTAAACAATTTTATTTTTAAAAATGCATTTTTATTGATAACTTTAGTTTTTATATCACCTACATGTCCCTCGCACCTCTTAGACCTAAAGAGCCATTCCTTGTAACAGAGAATAAAGAAGAGGAAAAACCCCATTTGGTGGAAGTTACTAAGATATCATAAAAGGCTAATATTATGTGCTGTGTTCTACATAGTTTCTCTTCTCTGCAAAGAATCAATGAGAGGTGCCTTCTCATAGCTCTTCTTGGGAGCCAAGTTTAATTATTATAGTTTCACAGCATTCATTTTTTTAGTGTTTTGTGTTTGTTTCCAAGTTCATTGTTGTAGTCATTGGATGTATTATTTTCCTGGTCTTTCTTACTTTATTCTGTATCGGACCATATAAGTCTGACTGTTCTTCTGACTTCTTTGTGTTTGCCCATTTTTTATGACATAGTAATAGTGCATTATATTCATGTGTACATTACATACATTACATTTTCTTTAATTATTCCCCAGTTGATGGGCATCCATTTTGTTTCTAGTTTTTTTACTACCATGATAAGTATTTATTGATGTATATGAGACTTTATTTCATTTGTCTTCCTGGGTTTATGCACCTATTACTGAGATTTCTGAATCAAAGGGTATGGATATGGACATTTTAGATACTTTATTTTTACCATAATTAACATAATAATTGTATAATTTAAAAAACTTGCTTAATAAATTTGATGGAATTGTAAGTTGACTAGCCAAAGGATCACTTATACCTCTTGTGACCTTAAAAACAAGACCAAGCTCTGAGGTGAATTTTCTCTAGCATTTGAAAGGAGAGCCAGCTATGGAGGATGAACCTAACTTGGTGGGGGTAGGGGAGGATTGCTCTTTGCATTATACTTCTTCCAGAGTGGGATTTGTCTCTTCTCTTTTCCATAAGCAGCGAGATCTTCCAGTATAACACCTCACCCAGTAGGAGACATTGCACCTGAAAGAGTAGTCCTCAAAAGTCCAGCAAGTCCTGAGCTATTTTTGAGGAGAGAGAACCCATAAAGTACCTTGAATTTAGGGTAGTCATCCCCCAGGAGAGCCAGCCTGAAAGTGTGAATTGGAGAGGCAGCCCAAGGGAAGCTTTTCAGTTTCATGTAATTGAAATCATTTATTTGACCATTTGTTATTGCCTGTATCCCTTGTTTAATGAAGAATTCTTTGCCTAGCCATATCTGTGAAAGGGCTTAGTTCTCTGATTTAATAGTATGGTTTTTAATTATCAGGAAAAGAATAACTTTTTAATAAGCAAATTTTATAGAAAATTTCTGTCTTTTAATCAGTGTCTTAGTTTCAGAAGCTAAATATCGAGATAGATTTTAATTATCTTAATCTCTAATTATCTTAATATCTTAATTATCTTTAGTCATCTAATCCCCAAATAAGAGTGGTAAGATTGATTTTATTTTTTTAAAATATTTTATAGTTTTTTAAACTTTATTAACTTATCTTGATTTATGAGCAGTCATTTCCATAAGCTTTTGAGTTTTAAATTCCCTCCTTCCCCAAGATGGTGCACAATCTGATATAGGCTATACATATAGATTTCTATTAAACACATTTTCACGTTAGTGATGTTGTAAGGAAGAGTTAGAACCAATAGGAGGAACCACCAGAAAGAGGAAACAAAACACAACAGAAGAAAAAAAAGAGCAAATAGTATGCTTCCATCTGCATCCAAACTCCATAGTTCTTTCTTTGGATGTGGATAGCATTTTCCATTATGAAGCCATTGGAGATGTCTTAGATCCTTGCATTGCTGAGAAGGGTTAAGTGTATCAATATTAGTCATCACACAATGTGGCTCTTACTGTGTATAGCGTTCTCCTGGTTCTGCTCACTTCACTCCACCTCAGACTATACAAGTCTTTCCAGGTTTTTCTGCAGTCTGCCTGCTCATCATTTCTTATAGCACAGTAGTATTTCATTGCATTCATATACCACAACTTGTTCAGCCGTTCCCCAATTGATGGGCAATCCTCTCAGTTAGTAAGGTTGATTTTAAAAGAATAAAGCCAGCAGCGTATTTTTTTTTTTTAGCTTGTGGATTAAAACAAAACAGAATTTTAAAACACCCTCAGGAGGCATAAAAAGAACATTTCCCCCTTATTTTTTTCTAATTCAAGAACAGGTTTCTTCTTGAGATGTTCAAATATTGCTACATTATTTACCCCTACCATCCCCAAATACAAAAACAATTCAGCATTTAAAAACTGATCTCCAAAGGAAAAACATTGGTGAACAAGAGCTAAGAGTAGACTCTTGAATTATTTTCCTTATTCTGCCACCTAAGGCTAGTTCAGTATCTCTAGTCTATAGTGACTTCATTTTTGAAACAGATATGATGGAATGGAAAAGATAAAGGAAAGACTATGTGGGATTTGAATTCCACACCATATTGTTGAAATTCTAGCACTCTTTGTTACTGCAGCATATGATCTTCCAAACATTTAAAGAACAATTAATTCCAATACTGTATAAACTATTTGAAAAAAATAGCTAAAAATGGAGTCCAATCAAATTTGTTCTATGACACAAATATTGTTTAGATGGCTAAACCAGGCAGGGTAAAGACAGAAAAAGAAAATATAGTCCAGTTTTCCTAATGAATATTAATGCAAATATTTTAAATAAAATATTATCAAGGAGATTTACAGAGATATATCACAAAGATCATATGCTATAACCAGGCTGTATTTATCCCAGGAATGGAGGCCTAGTTCAATAATAAGAAAACTATCAGTATAATTGACCATGACAATAACAAAAGCAACAAAAATCACGATTGTATCAGTAGATACAGAAAAGACTTCTTTCAAAAATATAACATCCATACCTATTACAAACACTAGAAAGCATGTGAATAAATGGAACTTTTTATAAAATTATAAGTGGTATCTTTTGAAAACCAAATGCAAGTACTCTATGAAATGGGGATAAATTAGAAGCCTTTCCAGTAAAAGCAAGGGTGAAGCAAGGATGTTCATTATCACCATTGTTATTCAATATTGTACTTGCAATGCTAGCTATAGCAATAAGACAAGTAAAAGAAATGGAAGGAATAAGCATAGGTAAGAAGGAAACAAAACTATTATTTTTTTTCTTTTTAGGCAATTGGGGTTAAGTGACTTGCCCAGGATCACACATCTAGTAAGTGTCAAGTGTTTGGTCTGAGGCCGCATTTGAACTCAGGTCCTCCTGATTTCAGGGCTGCTGCTGTATCTACTGCACCACCTAGCTGCCCCTAAAACTATTATTTTTTGCAGATAGCTACAGACAATATAAAATACTTGAGAGTCTATCTGCCAACACATCCACTGAAACTATATGAACACAGTTACAAAACACTCTTTTTTTTAAATTTTAAAATTTATTTTGATTTATCAACAATCACTTCCATATACTTTTGAGTTGAAAATTTTTCTCCCCCTTCCTCCCCCCCATCCTCCCCAAGATGGCTCACAATTTGATATAGCCTTTACATTTACATACCCATGAAACGTATTTTCATATTAGTGAAGTTGTAAGTAAAAATTAAAACCAATAGGAGGAACCATCAGAAAGAGGAAACAAAAAACAGAAGGTCAAAATAAGTGATAGCAATTCAGCTTCCATAATTCTTTTTTTGGATGTGGACAGCATTTTCCATCATGAGGCCTCTGGAGATGTCTTAGATCCTTATAGTGCTGAGAAGGGTTCAGTTTAACAATATTAGTCATTGCATAATGTGGCTGTTATTGTGTACAGAGTCCTCTTGGTTCTGCTCACTTCACTCAGCATCAGACCATATAAGTGTTTCCGTGTTTTTCTGAAGTCAGCCTGTTCATCATTTCTTATAGCACAATAGTATTCCATTACATTTATATACCACAACTTGCTCAGCCATTCCCCAATTGATGGGCATCCTCTCAATTTCCAGTCCTTTGCCACCACAAAAAGAGCTGCTATGAATATTTTTGTACATGTGGATCCTTTTCCCATTTGTTTGATCTCTTTGGGATATAGCCCTAGAAGTGCTATTGCTGGATCGAAGGGTATGCACATTTTTGTAGCCCTTTGGGCATAGTTCCAAATTGTTCTCCAAAATGGTTGGATCACTTCACAACTCCACCAACAATGTATTAGTATTCCAATTTTCCCACATCTTCTCCAACATTTATCATTTTCCTGTTTTGTCATGTTGGCCAATCTGATAGGTGTGATGTGGTATCTCTACAAAACACTCTTTACACAAATAACGACATATCTAAATAATTGGAGAAATATTTATTGTTTATGAATAGGCTGAACCAATATAATAAAAATGACCCAAAAATGACAATTAATTAATTTACTTACTTAGTGCCATACCAATCAAACTAATTAGAGAGCTAGAAAAAAATGACAGAATTCATCTAGAGGAACAAAAGGTCAAGAATGTCAAAGGAATCAATGAAAAAAAAATTGTATAAGAAGGGGCCCTACCTGTAACAATCTCAAATTATACTGCAAAGCAGTATCCATTAAAACAATTTAATATTGAATAAGAAATAGAATGGTTTGATCAGTAAAGATCAATAAAGAATCCAGTAACCCTGGATTTTAGCTACTGAGGCGAGAACTCACTATTTAGGGGGCAGCTAGGTGGTGCAGTGGATAGAGCACCAGCCCTGGAGTCAGGAGGACCTGAGTTCAAATCTGCCCTCAGTCACTTGATACTTATTAGCTGTGCGATCC